TCCTCCGCATCAAGAACTCTTGCATTAGCTAAGATGTCAATCTTATAACTAATAGACATATATTGAGTCATGGCCTTTTCTCCTTTCACAATGTTGTGTAGCTTATTCTTTAATTGAAGGATAAGCGACCGGTTGGATGATCGAAGCCGGCGTTCAACAGTAGTCCAAATGACAATAGTCGTTTCAAGATTTAAGATGTATGCAAGAATAGAGGGAGAGATTACAGAGTAGAGAGAAACATAAATGTTTTGATCGAAAAGGATTCATTTACCAAAATTTGGATTGAGGACAACATTACTGGTGGAATCTGAGACGAATTGATTCGATTGTGGGCAAGAAGCATCAAGAAATACATAGTAGCCATTTGCTTGGAACACTTGTGCTTTTCATGTAGGGTGATTCGGCATTCAGAGGAGCATAAATGATATTCTTCAGGTTTGCCAATAAGAACTTCAATTGAGAGGGAATCGATTGATCCCCTGAAAGAGAGAGGTGGTGGACTGTGAGAGCATTAGCAGGATTGAGAGTAGATCCATAACTCATGATAATAGTTTGAAAAACTCATAAAGAATATGACTCGAAGAACAAGATGAAGAAATCGTAGTAGTTTGGGAGAGAAACGGAGAACTCACGGTGAGAAAGAAGTGTCATAGGGCAGAGAGGGCTCTGCCTAACACTTCCATCATAGGTTATTCAATATGGAATTTAGCATAAAACTAGATTTAAATATGATTTAAGATTTGAGTAGCATATAATTTATAGTATTTGTTTCTTGTTGATAATTTTCCCTGTTAATCATTTGGTGTTGAGCTTGTGTTGTTTCATAAAGAGTCTGCGTGAAACTGAATCCCTCATCTTTAATTACTTTAAAATCCTAAACAATTAACTAATTTTATTAAAAAATTATTACGTTTTACATAGAATGTTTTTATATTACTTTTTAACATTTTAATAAGTTACAATATTAATATATTAGTTCTTGTTTCACACTTTATAGTTTATACAATATTTATTAATTTATGAATTTTTTTTTAAAAATGAGGTTTAGGCCTCAAAATGTCCTTAGGCTTAATCACATATGTGCTGCCCAAATCTACGGGAAGAAAGCCCTTCACTTGTAGGTCGTGGAGTGTCAAAACCAACACTTCGTAAATTCCCTGACTTTTCTCCACCTTCCCTGTCCTCATCATGACGTCGAAGCTCTCTGTAGTCACCAGCTCGAACCCTAGCTTCTCTACGACCTGATTTGAGATAAAATTATGTTTAGCACCATTATCTACCAACAATAAAATCGACTGTTCCTAGATCCACCCCTTCACTTTCAAGGTGTAATTTGGCATAAATCCCACCACCGAATTGAGAGACACCTTCGCCACATCCAAATGCAATTACTCCTCCATTGTGTCCTCCTCTGATTTCTCACTCTATGTATCCTCCTCTTGAACCAAAAGAATCTAAAGGGTGCGCTACTTGCAACGATAGCCTGAGACGTATTTCTCATCACAACGGTAACATAATTTTTTTGATCTTTTATCATGCACTTCTGCATCTGTGAGGTGCTTGAAATTGCCCCTGGGATAGGTCCCTGTATTCTTTTCCCTCGGCGTTTCTTTCTAAAATGACACCGTTTGAGTCCTCTTTTTCATGGTTGTCAGGAACTTTTGCAAAATCCTCTGGCATTGCTGCATTTGCTGGTCCTTTTCAACTGTTTCTTATCTTCCATCATCTGAGTGAGCTCCATCATTTCCTTCAGTCTTCGCAGTCTCAAGGGGCGGATGGTTGCTCGAATGTCGGGCTTCAGGTCTTTCAAGAAGTTAGCTTCTAGTCCTGGTGCGGAAATCACCCTCAATTTTCTTAACAAGAGCTCGAACTTCTCCTAGTATTCCAGAACCGTCCCCTCCTAAGTTAGAGCATAGAATTGCTCATGTAGATCTCCTTCTTGAATGACTAAAAGAACGCTCCAACGAGCAATCTTTAAACTCCTCTCATGAGTGCATCGGATACCTTGCATCCATACATTAAAACCACACTAGAGCCTTTCCTTCCAAACATAGTCCCGCTGCCCTAAGCTTCTCTTTATCCATCAACTTATTGATTGCAAAGTATCACTCCACTCGATACACCCACGCATGTGCATCATCCCCTTCGAAGATTCATATTTTCAGCTTTCTGACCCTTGCATCTCCAGCCCAACCCCCTCTTCCTCCACTATTTCCCCAAATGTGTCTAGAGTGGAACTTTCTTCTCAAGTCATAGGCATACCCAATTCCCAATTCCCAATTCCCAATTCCCTCCTTAACCCATCGTACTCTTTCATGCCCCTTACACTATCCCCCCTCCAATTTTCGACCAATCCCCCTTATCGAAAGTCTTTACTCCCCCTCCTCTCGGAGTCTTAGGGGGACGCTCACGTTGGTAGATGATTTCTCCCTCGTTGGATCATCTCCCTCGTTGTCTTTTCGTTAGATCTCCTTGCCTTTTGACCTGGCCAAGGATTTTCTGATCGATCCTTGGTTAGGATTTGCAGCTGGAGCGGTCGATCGACATGGCCTTGGATTGCATCTCCATTAGCTTTTTCATCATCTCTCGCATTTCTACTATACTCTCAAATCCATCCTCCATTTAACTTTCAAAGGAAGAAAATCTGTCCTCCATGGTGGCGAACCTCTCCATTCCCGATTTGATTTGCCCTAACTCTCCTTCTAGCATATCCACTTTCTTTGTTGTCATCCCACCAAGATCTATGCTATGGTACCAATTTGATATGTCCCGGAACCAAAATCAATGAACAAACAACAACAAAACAACAATAGATAGGTGGAAAAAAACACAAACAACGGTTGCTCTTAAAAAAACCAAAGGAGAACAAGCAAGATGCAATTATGATCTACTTTTCAAAAGGTAGATCGTATCTACCACAACCCTAGGTGTCGTTAAGAACACCACAAGAAGAAAGAAAACATCAGCCAACCAAGACATGCATAAAGAAAACAAACCCTAGGTTACTCCCCCAAATAGAATCCTCTCACAGCATTTTAAAAACTTTTCTCTATAGCTTTCTCTCTAAACTCCCTTAATTTCTCCTTATTGAGTAAGTGATTATGCCCCTTGCAGACCCCACCTATGCTCGACTTCCTTCTACTGCAGCAAAGTGCCACTCGGCTGCTTCGCGTGAAAGGGATCGACCCGCTTGTTGTTGTGGTGGGCTGGTTTGGTGGCTTTCAACCAGTCCGGATGGACCGATCATGTTACTGGCGTAACAGATTCTTATGGTTTGGATTGTTGGATTGATAAGCAGGTTTGATCGATCCTTTATTGGATTCGAACAACTTGGAGTTCAAAGGCCTTTTGGAACTTAGAGTTGCTGAAAAGCAGGTTGCGGGTGGATCCGAGATTCTTGTATTTGTTGCGTATGTGGTGCAGAAGTAAGAGAGTTATGAGCCTCCTTTGTAGCTTCTCGAGGTGTGAGGATCATTAAGCCCAATTGGTTGTAGATTTGTTTGTATGGATGTTTTGAAAGAGTGAGATGGAGGGAAACCCATTAAGCGTTTAGAGAATTATATCCTCCACATCAAGAACTCTTGCATTAGCTAAGATGTAGACCTTATACCTAAATGAAAAATACTAAGTCATGTCTTTTTCTCCTTTCACAATGTTGTGCATCCTATTCTTTAATTGAAGGATAAGCGACCGGTTGGATGATCGAAGCCGGCGTTCAACAACAGTCCAAATGACAAGAGTCGTTTCAAGATTTAAGTTGTATGCAAGAATAATTAGAGAGATTACAAAATTAAGTGCCACATACATGTTTTGATCGAAAAGGATTCATTTACCAAAATCTGGATTGAAGACAACATTACCTGTGGAAACTAAGACGAATTGATTCGATTGTAGGCAAGAAAGATCAAGAAATACATTGTAGCCATTTGCCCAAAAGAGCTTCAACACAAGAGCTTTCCACATTGGGTGGTTGTCAGCAGTCAAAGGAGCATAAACAATATTCTTTAGGTTTGTCAATAAGAACTTCAATTGAGAGGGAATCGATTGATCCCCTGGAAGAGAGATGATGGGCTGTGTGGGCATTAGCAGTATTGAGAGTAGATCCAGAACTCATTGAAGAGATGACTCGAAAGACAAGAAGAAGAAATCATAGGAGTTTGGGAGAGAAACGGAGAACTCATGGTGAAAAAGAAGTGTTGTGGGGCAGAGAGGGCTCTGATACCATGATGGAATAATAAAGAAGAATTTATTCATCAAGCTTATTACATGTACAAGAGAATACAAGTCTATTTACATGGGATATATAAGATAACAAGAAATAAGTAAGAGAATAATTAAGCCTAATTGTTAAGCCTAACACTTCCATCATAAGTTATTCAACATGGAATTCAGCATAAAACCAGATTTAAATGTGATTTAAGAAGATTTGAGTAGCATATAATTTATAGTATTTGTTTCTTGTTGATAAATTTCCCTGTTAATCTTTTAGTGTTGAACTTGTGTTAGTTCATAAAGAGTCCAAGTGAAACTCAATCCCTCATCTTTATTTTTTTTAAAAACCTAAATAATTAGCTAATTTTACGAAAATTATACTTTTTACATAGAATGTTTTTATATTACTTTTTAACATGTTAATAAATTACAATATTAATATATTATTTATTGTTTCACACTTTATAGTTTATACCATATTTATTAATTCATGAATTTTTTTAAAAATGAGGTTTACGCCTCAGAACGTCCTTAGGCTTACGCCTCGCCTCACAAACAAAAAATCAACTTAGTAACCAATTGTACAATTTAAACCATAGTATTATAAATATCCTAAACCCTCCTTCCCCAAAGTTTGCTAAATCCCATTTTTAGCCTAAAACAAGAAGAAAAAAAGTTTTAAGAAGTTCATATGATTTAAGTGGCTCAAAATTAAAAAAAAAGTAAAGAAGGACATGCCAAAAATAAGTCTTATTGATGAATTGTAGAAGTGTATAAAATGAACTTACAAAACATAAATTCTACCGGAAACACAATGGACAACTTTCCAATTGCATAGATTATCATCTCTAGCCTCCCAGTTCTGCAAAGTACCATTGAGATTAATCTCCGCTCTTGATCGAAACGCCCACAACACTAATCCTTCATTTTCATCCCAAAAACAATAGATAAAGTTGCACCGAATAAAAAAATATAAAAAAAAAGAGAAAAAACACAGTAACAAGAACAGAATAAGCATTTTTCAAACTACGAATCCACAATACCTCCGAAGTCGAGGGAGAAGCATCCACGACAATAAAGCTGAAGAAAAAAGAAGGCGCAAACCGCCTTGAGCTTCCATCCGACCCTCATCTCTCTCCGAAACGCTAACCCCTCAATCCCCGGAGCTCCAGATTTTTCCTAATCATAAACCCTCACTTCGATTTCCGTTAAATCTCCACCAGAAGGAAGAAATATCCGAAATCTCTAATGAAAGACTCCCCTATCCACCAATCGCGATTACAATCCACGTAATAGATTTGTACAGAAACGCAATATGAGTATCAGAAAACTAGGTTTTCAGTCGAGTTCTTGCGCGTTAGTCAAAGCATCGGGGGAAAGACAACAGACTTGGTTGGTAAGCGATTCCACGATAAAGTGAGGGGTTCTTATCGGTAACTTTCCGTAACATTGACTGGTAGAAAAGATCGAAGACGGTGGGGATAAAAATGGGTTTTAACCAGTCGTAGCTGTCAGTGATGACTTCCAGAAGGGAATGGGACTTCCAGGTGCCGTATCTTGTACGCAATGTCACTATATACTACTTTTTCTGACGTCGGCCTCTCTACCGAAGGGAGGGAAGAAGGAATGGGAGTGAGGCGGTCGCCGGCGGGCAGGAAACGCCGGCGGTGAGAAATAACTCTCCGCGTAATTTCGTTGTGGAGACGCATCTGTTGCGGAGCTCGCCTAAGGAGTCGGGCTCGGACGCCGTCACAAGTAAGGATTTACTTAGGGTCTGTGTTGGGGCGATGTGTTTGGAAACTCTATTCGCATGGTGTTCCTCCGGCCCCCGATCCGGACCGTAAATCACATGATTTACGGTCCTGATGTATTTCGGTGGGCCCCACCTAAAATTTTTTATTTTTTTTAAAAAAAACGGAAATAATCCTGACCGTAGATCACCGTGATCTACGGTCAGGATCGAACACCGCATGCAGAGATGCATGCGGTGTCCGCACGCAATAATCTCTCGTGTTGGGGTGATGTGTTTGGAAACTCTATTCGCATGGTGTTCCTCCGATATGCGTGGCTAGTATTTGTTAAGTGCCTTTCCACGCACCCTAAGCCCTGGTCCTGCGTTCGCGACTAGCATTTAGGAAAATATTTCTTCTGCGCTCATCTCAGCTTTACATCGCCCTCTCTCTCACTGTCTCCCTCCGAGATCTTCACCCTCACGTAGATCGAGTCGCATAAGTTCTGGTGAGATCTGTTTACTTCGGTGAGGATATGCGAGTTTTTTCGAGTATTTATCGTCTGATCTGTTTTTTCTATCCTAAATTTTGGCAAATTTCAATTGATGATAAAAGTTGGGTTTTCTTTCTGATGATTTTGTTGTATTATCTTGTAATGCATTAGGTAGTGTTGCACTTTCTTTCTAATAAAGCCGAGAAACATAAGAACTGTCTTGGATCTATTTGTATTGATATGAAAACGAATTTATTCAAATGCATATTAATGTAAGTTAGTACATAAAAATTTTGTGGTATTTGGGTTATGAAGTTACCCTTTGTTTCTTATGCATTCACGTGCTGACACCGAGAGTTCTTGGTGAAATGTCTGCGGCTAAAATGACTTGTTGTGTTGGTTCAAATCAATCGTTATATTGCTTTCATGGTATTGTTGATGCTTCAACAGAGCACATTTCATGAAAAAGGCACCGTTCAACAAATTTGATTATCAATAATGGGTCTCTAGATCTCAACTGGTTCTAATTTCATTGTATTGGAGGCACATTTCATTGTGTGGGAGGCATAGATCTTAGCTGGTTCTAATTTCAGTTGGGTCTAATTTTGTGTGATGTGTTCAATGAATTTGATTAGCTGGGTCTCTAGATTTCTTCAGGTTTAATTTCAGCTGCTTCTCTAGAATTCTTTGGGGAA